TTCGGTCGGAGCGCTTCTTTTGTTTTTGGGAATAATGGGTGCAAACCTTCATATCACGCGTTCTCATTGACTTCGTTCGGTAGCTTATTAACTAAAGTATCCTACCAAACGCATAATTGACTTGTTAACTCTGAAATCATGGATTTCTTTGAAGTTTTCTGCTCGATAGGCCCAAAATGGGCGATTAGGCCGAACTAGTTCTCTACCCTATGACCTCCACTTTTGTACGTATAAGCCATTTCTTTGCATTCTATACGAATTGTTTGTTTGGATATATGTTTGTATATCACAAAAACAACTTTGAATATACGTGCATTCTGGTTGTCTGGGTAGTCAGAAAACTATTTTTGAGAAAATTTAAATCATTTTCTGAAAAAAAAATTCACAAAAAAGCGAACTAAAAAAATTCCTAAATTTGACCAAAAGTTCTTGTTTTACGATTTTTGTCAGTTTTCAAGTGTCCAGGTTTGGACCTTTAAAAAGTTTGCATTTTCATTTCGACCTTATCAAGATGTTGCATTTTGTTTTTGTTTTGTTAACATGCTCCCTGAAAATCAGCTTGAGTGTTAGTCCGAGGTAGACTACCTCTTAGGACCACTCCACCACTCTGCCGTTTAGGCAGATTTTGTTATCCTCAGACGGAACAAAACTGGGAGATTTTGAGTGTGGAAAAATTATGACCTGGGTCTTCGCCACGTTGATACGGATCTTCCAGCTGTTGAAATACTCAGACAGGACATCCAAGCCTCTCTGAAGTTTGGTACTCAGAGCTTGGATGACCCTACCGTAGACGATAGATGTGTCGTCTGCGAACAGAGACAACGATCCACCATCAGGGAGAGCCGGAATATCGGAGGTGAATAGATTGAACAGGATGGGCCCAAGGATACTCACTTTCGAAAACCAAACTGCTCCTCGAGCAAGATGTTGTTTTATTCGGCAGATGTTAGCTCAGGATAACCCTGAGAGAAGGCTGATGGGTCGGTAACTTGAAGGAGAGGAAGGATCCTTCCCAGGTTTCCGAACGGGGATGACTTTAGCTAACTTCCAGCACGAGGGAAAGTAGCCAAGTCGGATGGTTGTAGAATCTGGAACTCTAGTGCTTGAGCTCCAGATTCAGAATATTGTCGAAACCTGGGGCCTTCATGTTTTTGGAAGTTTTGATAAAAGCCAACAGTTCGTCAGCCGTGATCTTGGATTCCTCGGGAAAGATGTTAGGAACCTGGTGGAGATTGGTTACATTTTCAGCAACCTCAACTTCGTGAGGGCTGGTGATGTTTTATCCGAGATTGTGGGAGCTGACGCAATGTTGACCTATCGCGGCAGCCTTCTCTTCAGGTGTTATCAGGTGAACTACTGAATCATCGGGACAGTTCAGTGGAACCAGCGATGGAATAGGCCTCGGTTTAGTTTTGAGGACTTTTGTTAGTTTCCAAAAGGGTTTTGCACAATCTGGGAGGGAACGGATGTTATTGGCAAAATTCTCATTTCTGAGTTCCACCATTTTGCCTTGGATAAGTTTGGTTAGACGGTTGGAATGGGTCTTCAAGGTAGGCAGTTCAGTTCTCTGGTACTGTCTACGCATGGCTTTTAGTATTCTGATCAAGGTTCAGAGAATTACTCACCCGTCTGGAAGCTGGCATGTGTTGTTCGCGGGCTCGGGATACCGCCTCCTCGACTTCACACAGAGATCTATCGATGTCATCAGTCGTCTCCAGTAGGGCGCCGAAATCGCTTCGACGACTACTTGTTGGAACCGATCCCAGCTTACCCGATGGTAATTCCGACGGGAAGCATGAAATCGATTAACGGAGGAGACCACCTCGGCCACCACCGGAAAGTGGTCTGAGCTTAACTCTTGGTGGGCTACCGGGTGGAAGATGTTCTCCATGTTGCTGACGAAGATATCGATGATGGAGCGCACGCCAAACCGGCTCAGCCGGGTGGGAGCGTCCTGCGACAAGATGGTGTACTGGACCTCTTGTAGGTCGTCGTTTAGGATGGTGCTGTTCTGATTCCGCCTATGATTGCCCCAAGCTTGATGTTTGGCGTTCAGGTCGCCAGCGATGATGAACTTTCCAGGGCGTCGTGTTATCTTGATAATATCTCTCCGCAGGTCTGCCGCGGATCCATCCCTGGCGTTGGCTTGTTTCGGGCAATAGGCCGCAATGATTGTGACGGGGCCGACGGGTGTGGAGACTTCCACTCCCAGTGCGTCAATCATTTTCAGCTGAAAACTGGGTAGCAGCCGGCAGCAGATGTTGTTCCTGGTTGCGATGGCCACTCCACCACCTTCAAAGCTTGTCCGATCCAACCTCACGAGCCAGAATCCAGGAAGAAAAACGTTTATCTCCGGTTTCAGGTGAGTTTCGGTGATGATGGCGATGTCGATGCTATGTTCGTTGAGGAAGCCAACGAACTCGATAATTTTGCTCTTGAGCGAGCAAGCATTCCAGTTTGCGATTTCGATGAGCTCAAGGTCCATAACTGAGCTTGGAGCTGGTCGGATTTGTTCTTGATGGTGTTGGCAATGTCCTGCATCTTGAGGAAGACGTTCATTGGTTCCGCTGCGGTGAACCACAAACCATCGTTGATTTCTGGCTGCGATAGGGACGGTCTATCCTGACGCCAGTTTACCCAGGGGCTTTGGGAAGATCCTGCGGCTGTGGAGCAGCAGTCATCTCTTGACCTGAGTTTGCAGGGACTCCGGCAGTTTGAACTTGAGCGGTGGCGGCCGCCGCAGCAGTAACAGCGGCACGAGCAGCAGCCAATCGTTGATTGAGTGGCAGTGGTGGCAGCACTGTAATCGGTCGTCATGGTTCCGGTGGGAAGTTCTGGTCATTAATTTCCGGCACTTTCTTGCGGCCGGGCTGGTTTCTCGTCAATGCTTTCTTTCGGATCTCGATGTACTCGGTGCGCTTCGGGCAGGCCTTGCTTGTAGCTTTGTGATCAGCACCGCAGTTGGCACAAATGGGATCGGCTTCATCGAGTCTGTCGCAAGCGTCGGTTTTGTGTTGTTTGCCACACTTGATGCAGCGGCTGACCATATGGCAATTCTTCGTTCCATGCCCGAACAGCAGGCAGTTCGAGCATTGGGTGACTCCACGACTGACCGGTTTATACCGATCCCACTTCACCACAATGTTGAACAGGACGCGGATGCCCTGGAGGTCCATCAAAGTATTTGAGTTCTTCTCAAGGTGGACCAGGTATGGCTAGTCGCGGTACTTGACGGCCTTGTTGTGGCGGACCATCTTGTGAATTTGGACCGGCTTTAGTCCATTATCCACCAGCTCTTCAAAGAGGACGCCTGTGTCCATGTCGACCACCTTGAACGGCATAACAGCCTCGATGTCGTGAGTGAAGTACTCCACCGTGATTGGTCCATTATGGTCTGTACCGCCTTGTAATATTTGAATGCCGGAACCATCAGTTTGTATCCTTCTCGCACAGCTGGATGGTGCACCGGACGGCGCGTGATGTAGAAGTTTATTTTTTTTTCCCGCAGTCCGGGAGGGAAGCCCTTCACGTAGAAGGGCGGCATTCTGTTCATCTTCGGCGGTTCTGTTGTTTCCGTCACCGGTTCTGCACCGTCCTTCAGAACGGAGAACCGATTGTTGTCGAGCAGCTTCTTCGCGGCTGTCGCACTGTCTCTGTTGTCTTCAAGCCTAGACCGTTTCCCGGGATTGCTGGCACTCGCACCACCGCGCGATTTTTTACCCATGGCTGGGTCAGCGAAAGCATCTATATTCAACGCGAGATAAAACGGAACAACGCAATCGAACGAACGAAGAGAGCGAGAGAAAAAAACTGCGACTGTACTGCTCAACAGTCTGGCAGCAAATGATTGCTAAGATAATTTCCTTATCATTTCACTTAACAACGTACCATCTACGATGCTTGGTTCATGTGTTATGAGTTTTCAAAGTACGTGATGTCCGGGAAAATCCAAACACTTCAAATAAATAGGTATATAGGGGAAATTGATGCAATGTCGGCCTAAATGTCCCTAATTTGGGCACATACTTAACTTCAGTAATCGACTAAATTTTCAATAGCACCCAAAAATATCCATTAGTACCGTCCCAATGACGCGTTCATCTAGATAAAATTGATAAATAGCAGATTTTTCGCGATGGGCCCAATTCTAGATCCATAGGCCAACATTAGAGCCATTTCCCCTATATAATCATAAATTCTACCTGCGGGCAACCTTTAATAAAATTTTAAGGCACCTATGTCCAATATTTATTCTATTCTTAAGCGCAAATGAAGAAAAACTATGAAAAACACTTACAACGTCATAACGTCACACAAAATAGCCGCTCATCAAAACGCTTTGAACTGCTTAAATCGGAAAACCTATTGATCAATTCGGATAGGAAATTGCCCTCTCCAAACATACAATAATATTTAGAAGCTACTTTGATTTATTTTTTTCAGTAACAGTAAAAGAAAACTTAAAATTAAATAGGCACCAACGTCGTCACGTCACGGTAGGAATGTGTCTGTTGTGTTTTCATTTGCGAAATTCTTAACGTTAAGCTCATATATGCAATTGTGTTGTGAATTTCCATTCAAAAAGGCTATCGAACCGAAACACAAAGACTATTCAGAACTAGCAAGAGTAATTCATGTTAATTTCTTTTAACGGTCAGCCAACACACCTTCACAAACAAATACCACTGATTTCTACATGACCGCTCGGTGACCATCATATTTTCAAAAGTCACTCTGTGTTCGTTTCGGACGTTTCGGATATCCACAAAGCTGTATTGTCTGGTTTCTGTCGGCAAATATTACGAAAATGCTCATCATCCTTCATTCGGTTCTCGAGAAACTTTCGCGGGATTCTTTCATGTGGCCCACTTCGTATTTCTCCGCCCTCCGTCCTTCCGTTCCTTCCGCGCAGCGCCTCGCTAGCGTACCCCACTTAAGCGACATTAAATTTAGCTCGTTCGGAAAATTTCTGGTGGGGAAAAGTCGCTCGCTTCTTAGTGTCCGCTAGAAAATGTCGGCGTTCGCACTGTAACGGTGTCTCCGGTTTCCCATTTTTTTTTTGTGCACTTTTTTTGTTTCCTTCTGTTTTTCATTTCTTAACTTTTTTTTCTTCTTATCCTTCGCAAAATTATCGAAACTCAATCGAAAAACAAATTGATGTGTGATTCGGACTAATCGACGTCCAACGATAAGCGCGGCCTCGAGTTTTGATTTATGTTTTGACTTCGAATTTGATTTTTTTTTTCGGTCGGCGATTCAAAAATGTTAAAATAATTTAAACAGTGTAAAACGATAGGTTAAGTGAAGCGAACGAATCTTAATGTGTTTTCCCGGGCCTCCCAAGCACAGAGGACACCGCTTACCACACTAGTAGTGATAGTATTCGTGTGTTTGTGCCACTAAAAAAATGTTCCAGCAATTTTGATATTTCTGTGTCGGTAAAGATCAGTGCGAAAGAAGCATTTTTAATCCGGAAAACGAAAGTGCATTTCAACGACGGTGTTGAGTGGAAATTTGAAATGCGCGCAGCACAGAGAATATGCAAATTTCACAGTTACAAAAAATAGCTCTCGCTTAAAAATAAGACGGTTCTCCTCTAGAGCTGCTTGAGATCCAAAAATAATTCACCTAGACGCCTGTTCGAAGCTGAGTGGACTACCGTAGGCATTATGAACTGTTGTGATCGATCCAGTTTGAGAGTGCAACCGTGTGACAGCTCGGTTTTCGCACACTATTTTTCACGCGGAATGGATTGCTAAATTACAATAAAATGAGTCACGTGTAGCAATGGCACCGGTCAACGAACGTGATGGACAGATAGTTGGCTCATTTACAAAATAAATACGAACTAGAATATTCACCCACCATTGTGTTGTGAAGCTCCTCCGGTTACACAATCATTGGATTGATTACCAAGAATGCCACTTGAATCATATTTTTCACTTTAATTTTAACTAATTGCGTTGTAATGTTCTCTTCGCAAGCGTATCATTTAAGTCCGCACCTGAGTTGAAATGTACTGCGATGATGGAAAGAAATGCGTTTCCAAACACATCAAGTCTGAAAGTCTATTCAAATATATGTTTGACAGTGGCACAACCATACGATATGATATGATGTGATATGAATTTTTTCAATGAAAGTGATTGGAACATATCTACCAAAAAGTGTTAAAATTTTAAGAATACCAAAGTGACAGTCAACAACGGAGAACCATGTCCACGCAAGATCTACGGGGTCGAAGGTCGACACTTCTCCAACGCTACCAACCAGGAGCCGGATCTCAGGATCCAATACAGCATCCGAAGGACCCCGCCACTATCGCTAGATCAACCAGTCAACGAAGTCTTCAGAACTCATCACTTTTGCAAAAGTACTACTCGAAAACGACGTCACAAGACCTGCGAACAGAACCTCCGACTCAACCCGAAACTGCTCCATCCGAACCAAAAAGATCCAGCAGTCAACGCAGCTTGGATAAATCAAAGCTGTTGCAACGCTATTACAAGCAACACTCACAGGATTCACCAGAAGTTCCGACGCCGGAACCACAGCGATACAGCAGTCAGAAAAGCTTGGAAAACTCAAAATTACTAAAACGGTATAATGCTGTTAACAATTCTCAAGAATTCACCGGGCTCGCACCTAGAGAAAGCACACCTGTGGCCCGATTTACACGCAGTGGAAGTTTGGATTACGACAAAGCGGCACGTTCATCATTGCTGTCCAAATATACGCCAAGATTTGGAAAATCATTAGACAGGAACAAAATTACACCGGTTACTAGCAGTTACAGTAACTATAGTAGTCAACAAAGCCTTGACCAACAGGACTCAACCCAAAACATTACTTCTTCGCAAGCAATCGGTGATTATGGAGGTGATCATTACGATCAATATGACGCTCAGAACATCCGCAGTCGGTCGTCAAGCGTGGCTCGAGGTCTCAACCGTAAAAGTTTGCATAGGGATCTGGGACCTCTGGAAAAGGAGAATATTCCACTTGATCCGGTTACTCCTGAAACACTACCGGTGGTGGCGGCATCGGTACCCATAATGGGTAATATAGCATCAGCACTACCAATGCCCATGTTAAGTGCCGTAACTCCCGCTCCTATATTCGAAATCAGCGAACCAATTCAGGAACCGGTTATCGAAACGACGCATCCTTCAGTGCCGACACAACCGGTCATAGGATCAGAAATACCAAAACGTAAGGAGCCGGTCAAGCCTCCTCGGAAGGATTTGGCTCCCTTGACGACCGTGAGTATTCCCATTCCCAACATCAAAACCACAATCACTGTCGAACCACCAACGCCTCTCATCCCACCCAAAAAGGAAGCACCTGTCGTTCCGAAAGACCCATCACCACCACCACCACCATTGTTCAGCAGTAGGGATCGCATGGAACATTACGGAGACGTTACCATTCCGTCATCTTCACCACCATCTCAAGCACCGTCGAAGCAACAGCACAAATCACCTGCACGCAATTCGGCATCGAAAAAAGACGCCCTCCTTCTTCCGATCAGTGACTTCAGTAGCCGCCGCAGCATGACTGACCTGCGCCAACACAAAGAAGAGCAAAACAACGCGTTTGTGATGGAAATTGACGAATTCAGTGACAGACATGAGCTGAGCACCTTTACGAAGAGAAGAAACTCTGTTAAGAGTACTCTTGCATCTGCTTTCGAACAAATTGCCGTACTGTCCGTGCCACAAGCGTCGAATGTATTCGAACAAACTGAAGAAAACATCGAGTCACTTCCTTCAGATCGAAAACTTAAAAAGCGCGACCATACCTATCATCCGTCCTTTGTGCCAAAGCAAGCCAAGTTGGAAGAAAACGAAAGGAAGAAACAAGAAGAAAAGGCAAAGCACGAACTACACAAGCAGGAACAGGAACGCAAGAAAGAGGAAGACAAATTGAAGAAAGAAGAGGAAAAACTCCGAAAGGAACACGAAAAACTGAAAAAGGAAGAGGAAAAACATCGCAAGGAAGATGAGAAGAGAACAAAAGCCGAGGAAGAAAAAAGTAGGAAGGAAGCCGAGCGACATGCTAAGGACGAAGAGAAACGAATGAAGGAGATGTTTGCCAAGGAAGAAGAAAAGCGCCTAAGAGAGAAAGAAAGGCTTTTAAAAGAGGATGAAAAGCTATTGAAAGAGGAAGAAAAACGATTGAAGGAGGAGGAAAAGCGAAAAAGAGATGAAGATAAAAGGAAGCAAAAAGAAGAAAAGAAGAAAGCAGCGTCGCAAAAGAAAACTTCAGTAGACCAAAGTCCAACAGAACAACCGGAAGAAGAAACTTTGGAATTCGGTAACCATTTGGAACAGTACAGCATTTCGGGACCGGAACAACAACGAAGCATACCAGTAGGAAGACCACGGTCTGGTGGGACACCTCGCGGCAGTCAGGGTGCTCTTAATCGTCACACTTTACCGGCCATGTCTTCACCACCCTTGTTTGGCAGCCAACAAAACTTGGACCGAAGCGGTGGAGCTCAATCAAAAATGTTGCAACGCTATGCCAAACGAAGCGGATCGCAAGATTTCACGCATTCCACGGACATTGCAGAGGCTCAAAAGTTCATCAAAGATGTGCACATGAGCCAGGGCAGTTTGGATCACCAACGAGCGGCTCGTTCAAGTCTTCTCCAGAAGTACACCCCGAAACCCCTGAGTGCATCTGCGGCGACCGGAGGACAAGCTGCAATACCAGCACAGCCACCGACACCAAAATCCACCAGTCAAGTTAGCCTGGACAAGACTCGTATCGAAAAGTCATCGCTTCTACAGCGGTACAAGCCGAGAAGTGAATCCGCCGATGGTCGGGTAACAACTACAGACGAACCATTCGATTATCCGGACAGAGAACAACGAATGGCTGCAGTTGTGTTTACACCCAAAAAGCTGTCGGATAAACCAACATTTGACTACCGGTAAGGAATGAACAATTGTATCCTTTCGTGTTTTCAAATCATCGGTTTTCATATGCTAAGGACAAATTTCAATTCAAATTTCGGCGAAGACCATTACTAGCTACACTGGAATCGTTTCGAGAAATTTATGCATCTTTTCCTAAAGTTAAACAACACTAGATAGAGCTGGAATTAGGGCGTAACAGCTTTTGTAAACAATGACTTCTTTAGATGATTTCTAGAAAATCAAGGCTCCCCAACGCAAATCAACATTACCATCGGGTAGGACAATGACTTCCTCTACCCGAAGGTTATGTTAGTTTGCGTGGGCGTGCCTTGAATTCCTAGAAATCATCGAGAGAAGTCATTGTTTACAAAAGCTGTTACGCCCTAATTCTAGCTCTATCTAGAACAGTCGTTATAAACAAGCTTGAAGTTACTTCAAGCTTGTTTATAACGAAAATGTGTCGTGGAAATAGAGTGATTCTAAAAATTTCACGCTATATTGCCTGGTATATGTTTGACGTTGACATCGATTAAATTGACAAACAAATAAACTTTTATCCACATTTGATTAACTTTGTCAAGGTGAAAAATATTCTCCTTGTATTAAAGCGTGTTATTTAATTAAAACCGGAAACTTAGTTCACAAATCCGAACACTTTTAAAGTTGATTTTCAATGCCTACTATGCTAAAAATAGCACGTAAATTTGATCATGGTCTCTTATGTCGTTTTGGTTTTTGCTACACTACACCGGTGTAGTGTAAGCAGCAATAAGCGCGAGTCATTGACAGCTCATCATCATTTGTTTGTAAACAAAGGTGCAACCGATAGCTACACCCTGATTTTTTTCGGTGTTCGTCAAAAACGAAAACGACATTAGTTTCATTCTGAATCACACATAAAAATGAAATGTTCGGATTAACGAACCGTGACTTCACGCAGAAGAATGGATTTTTGTTACAGGGCCTAATGTATTTTGTTATTGATTCAAACATATTGTATCACTATTTCAACAAAACATATTTTTGAATCAACAAAATGGTTTTTAGAATCAACAAACAGATTATTGACTCTACAACCGGTTTGTTAATTCAAAAATATGTTTCTTTGAATTTATCGAATAATATATTTGAATTAGGCCCTGAGCCAAAAATATATCCATTTGAATTTAAAAATCATATTTCTGCGTGTTACGATGTATTCATGCTGTTAAGGGGCTGTTCATAAACTACGTATACCGATTTTTAGAGGTTATAGACCCCCCTCCCCCCGCGTAGACAATCGTCCATACATATTGTTTTTAAATTTGTGTGGACCGTAGACATTTGTCACCCCCCCCCCCTATAGTCTACGTGGTTTATGAAGGTAGGTATGAAGCTGGCAACAGGAATGCAATGGCGATTGATTTTTGCAATTTAAAATAGTGCGCGAAAAAAGTGGGTTTGATGTTTTGGAAAATGTTTCTAATTAATTAAAATGTGATTAACTACCCCATTCCCGTCCTATTAAGCACAACCCGCAATTAATCTTTCTTAATTTAGCGGAGTTTAGCACCAAACGAAATATTATTATTACAGATGACTACTTGTGCCTTTTGTTTTCGAGATCATATTTTGCGTTCTTCAACACTTCGTCTTGCAGCTATTGAATAGAAGCATCGTACAAAACGTGTGTTTGACACGTTCACGCCGCAATCATAGATATATTTGATGGTTTCTGCTCGATAGGCCCAAAACGGGCGATTAGGTCGGATCTATCCTATATTGTCGTCTTAGGTACTTAGAGGATTGATCACTTTGACGGTCCTATGGATTTAATTCGCTCAAATCGTTCCGTTGCATTGGATATTATTCTTTAAACAATACATACGTTGCCTGTCACTGAAAGATGACATGGTATTCTTTGACAATCTTTTTCGTCTTGCGATAAATAATGATGCCGTAAAAGAATTGTTTACACTTTGCTATCATCGATAATTTTGAGTTCAAGACTTTTGAAAAATTGATTCCTGACATTGCTGAAAATTATGATAGCATCAAATTGCGGTGTTGCTAGTGTAATATGATGCTTTGTTGATTATTTGTGAACTCTAAGATTTTTCACATTTATATCGCTGTGAAACAACTGAAAATTGTTGAAGGAACTTATATCTGTAACTGTAACTAGTTGGTTTTGTTTGCTAATCTGTTGCAGATGGCATACTTAATTATCTCAAACATAAATCGTCCAGCTCAAACCTTTGTAGGGGTAAAAGGTGGGACCATCATGATCATGTGCTGGAAAACAACTTATATGGACGAAAATTGCCTTATACAGTTAAAAATAGGCTTATTAACCTTTTGTGTGTACCTTGGGGTCAATTTGACCCCAGTCCACTTTGAAAGGTTGAACCTTTTTTATTTGTCGTAGTACTAATTCTTTCGTGACTAGGTGCGACCATCGGAGGATATTAGATGAAATCTGATCTATATAAATAACATTGCAAGCTTTATAAAGATTTTATAGCATTCTACAAGTCTACTATAACAAAACCCTTATAAAACCGAAATTGTTACTTGGGAAATCCTCATACAAAAAATGAAACTTAAGTCACACCTCTGACGATAATAGCTATTGCCGGTATTGCCGATGCCGTCATTTATTATGAATATGTTTAATTTTCCACTAGTAAAAAATAAAATTAATAAAAAGTTAATGAAACTAAAAAAGAATTGTGTAGAGGGAAGTTTCTTCTCTGGTTCGCATCCACTAGATGGATCTAGTAGGTAGTTGAAATCCACCATCACTAATAGCAGGCTTGTAGCATGGAGAGCCACTGTACACACTTTCACATTCAGATCACCGAAGTCGGTAGAATTTTACCGGGTTTTTGAACAGTCGAACAAGTCGGTACAATTTTCAAATGACCGCTCAGGGTGTCGACTCAATGAAGAAAACCAAATTCCTTGAGATTTCCTGATTTTCCAGTAAATTCCAAAATAATTCCAGGTGCCTACCCGTTTTTGGCAATCCCATCGGCTATTACTTTCCTCAGTACTATACTAGTGCCTTTTGGACATGTTTTCATTAAATACCACATGGACCTCTAGCCCATGAAGATTGATCCTATACAATTTCAAATTGAATAAAGCGTTCGATACATTTTATAGAATGCAAAAAATCTACTTTCCTGGATCTTGAATATGGCTCAGGGACACGTTCGAAGTATTCACAATTTGTCTATGAAAATTCACTCAAAACTTAACAGGATGTTATTTTATTGTTCTTAAGCATTTTCTTTAGAATCATTTCCTTTCGCAGAGCACTTTTCATAATTCTTCTCAATTTTTAATTCCTCTGGGAATCCCTTGAAAATTTCTGTAGATACTGCAAAAAATTCTTGAAATTCTTTCCATGAAGCTTAATTTTTTTTAATTCGCTTTAATTCTTGGTATTCTCCACACAATTCCCATGAATTTCACCTCAGAATTCTCGACCAACAATTGAAAAGGGCCTATCTGCTTTTGACAGCAACACAGGGGCAGAGGAAATTCTCCCGTCGAAAATTGTCTTCAAATTTTGTTTAGGATTATCTTGGGGTTCTCCTCTAAATTCATCTGGAAATTGCTTGGGGACCTCCTTGAAATTAACCAGAAATTCTTTGCGAAATGCGCATGGAATTATCCACAGAAGTGTCTTTGGAATTGTACCCTCCAAATTCAATTCCCTTGGTATTTTTTACGAACCCTGAAGTCCTCTTCGAAATCGTCTAATGGAATTTTCTAGAGAAGTGCTTAAATTGACATGAGAGTTCTAGTCGAAACTCTCGTGGAGATTTTCCTAAAACTCTATAAAATACCTGAAATACCTAAAAGTCTCTTAATAGTTCTTCAAAGTGATGTATCCTGAAAATCTAGTCAAGTCTAGGGTCTTAAAATATCATTTATTTTTTTTTTAAGAGAGGACGAAGTATATTTTCCGGTTTATTTTTATCGAAATTCCCGGGATTATTCCGGTTTTTTTTTCCCGGTGGCTTCAGCCTGGTTTCTCGATTTGCTAGATCACTGGTCACCCTGCATTTTAGATATGAAACACTAGTCTTTAATCCCATTATTTGTTTTGTCTAGAAGTCATTTTGAGACCCAGCTCCGTTATAAAATTATACGGATAATACGCTTAACCAAAAACTAATTCGCGGGCGGATTTGGGAAATAGTAAAAACAGCGATTTCCCACAAAAAAAATCTGTAAAATTCAAGCTTTACGGCTGTAGCCTAGTTAAAATGCAGTTATACGTCAAAAATAGACGTCACATTTAGCCATTGTCATTTCGTTGCCATAATTGGTGAGAGGCATTCGAATGGAATATTAAGTTTTAATATAAACGGGGGAGTTTGGTAAAGAGAGATGATCAAACCGATTTGAACCTTCATAAAAGTTGTCCTTGATTGCTTTCTACTCTCTATATATACAATTTCACACTGCCGTACTCTAACGGAACTATCAACTCTATACTTTCATCTATCATATAAAAATTACCACTCAAGTCTGTTATTTGAAATTAGCATCTTCAACTATGTAAATCAAATGATATTTTTCCACTCTCATACGCTCTCAATATCATGCGTGATATTGGAACAAAATATCATGCTTGATATTGATTTTACAAGCTCCTTTGATATTGCGAGACTATTCACAACATGCAAAATCAAGCTGAGAGTTGACTCGACACAAAAATGATTCCGTTGCACATCGTTTTCTTAGAAGGAGATAGTATAGTTTGCTATTTCTTTTTACTCTTCACCGATGGCAGACACGAAGGGACTGCTGCCAGCCGTTAAGGAAGTTTCGGTTACGTTCGGGTATAAAGCAAAAATCGTGGAACTCAATCTCACCACAGTTTGTTGAGGTTTGCAGCTGGTGAGTTTTGTTAGCCTGGTATTCCGAGCTGCGATATCACAGGTTGCAAAATCAACCGCAGTTGTTTGCTTCTTGATTTTTGTCTACGAAAATCAAGCGTGATCTTGGGCATTGGTGA